GATTTCTCACTCTGAAAAAAAAAAAAAAAAAATTTATACTTAAATAAGAAACTACAATATATCTTCTTTTTTTCTTTATTTTTTTCTATCGAACATTTTTCGGTAGAAAGGCTGCTGCTGTATATCGCATTTTATTATAAAAATCTGCAGGATTGGCGAGCACAGTGCAAGACTTGCGAGTCAATTTTGGTCTACATTAGTTTTTCATATTTTGTAACACAATTTTTTTACACAATTAAAAAATATTCAAGACAAATGCTTGTTATGTCAGTTGATTATTTAATTAATAATTAAATATGAAGATTTTTATGAAGATTTTTCTTTATAATATAAGTAATAATCCTTTTAATTTTTAAAATTATATATCTTTGCAAATAAGCTCCAAATTTATATTTTATTGAAATTTCCTCTAAATTATTTGAAAAATGTAATTTTGTTATCTATTTTTTTTTCTGAAGCTCATTATTTGCTAAAAACGCATCATTAATTGTTATTTTCAATTTTGGATAGAATCAGCCAAAGAATTTGTAGCGAAAAGAATATCCATTGGTTTCTAGATTTTTGATAAAAAAATTTCGAAGGAAAAGAGGTAAGAAGAAAGAATAAGAAAATATATAAAAAGCACGCTATAAATAAAAGATATATCTAAAAATATATATCTGAAAAACAGCATTTACAAAAATAAAAGAAGGAAGGAATTTGTCATACCGACTGTGTTGGGTTGTCACCTTGGGCGGTGTGGAGCGAGAGGCACGTGATCCCCGCTTTCTCTTCGTGAATAATACGCCATCTGAAGAACTGTAGCCGCACGCCAACGGTTGAATCACCGACAACGCTGACGTTTTCCGAGCGTCAGTGTGCGTCAGCGGTTGTCACGGATGATAGGTATCGCCGTGTTTGCAACCACAGACGTTTGTTCAACGGATTTCGTAAATTAGTGTGTGGAAAAACATTCGTCCAATCAACCGAAGTGTGTTCCCGGATATTCGTCGAACAGTTTTCCCCATTTGGAGATTGCACGCCTGGAAAATGCAGGTAAGAGCACAGTTTTCATATATGGATTTCGTACAGGTTTTTTGAACGCGGTTGAGAGATCGAGAGAAGAAAGATCGTGCGAAATTCGGTCAAATAGAATGCCGAAAGGATCTCTTGCTTAGGCGCGCGCGACTGAAAATGGAAATGCGCGTTTAGCTACATCTAATGAATATGCAACAAATGCATGACACGAATGCAAGATGGTTTGGAATTTCCGCATTTTCCGTGCGCGTCGTTTCGCATGATTGCGCGCACAAGAAAGTTTCCGATCAAAAATTCACTCGAGTTGAAATGTGTCGAAGGAAAATTAGATTCATGAAATTACTCAAATGACTAAAAGGTCTGAAAAAACTAACGTAATAAATGTTTAAAATATGCCTTCATTTAAAAATAGTAGCTGAATCCAAATGTACACACAACACAAAGATATATATATTAAGATTATTGAACATTTTACTTGATTTTGACATCCTGTTATTGGTTCTAAAAGCTGTTTTGTATTTTTTTGTCAATTTACATTTAATGAATATTTAATGGTATAATTAAAACGCTAAGTATAAAAGAAAAACAACATTTAACTTGTTTTATATATATTTTTATGAGAAATAATATTTAATAATTATAACTTTTTATAGAAGGTTGAAAAAGAAATAAAAAGAAATTGGATAATCTTGAATCAATAACTAAGATAAGTGAATTATCAGAATAAATTCTTACAGATTCCTTTCTATTTATGAAAGAAGCCAGCTACTAAATGTTGATTTTAAAAAATAATAGCTGAGTCGAACTAATAATTAGATTAATAGTTGTCAAATTAATAGTTAGAACTAATAATTACTGATTGTTAGATCAGTGATTACTAAGCACGAATATCTTGAACTAAGACTACTAGCATCTACTAATCTAGAATTAAGTACGGACATAAAAATGTGAATGTACAATTTGTGATTTGAGGACTTGTTACGAAAATTTCATGCTTGGTATATAATCGTATCACTACGATTTGTTTCGTTACAGAAGAAGTTGAAAAAAATTATCTGATTGTCGCGGGAAAGCAAATTAAATCGAACAACTTATTTTACAGAGAATTGATACTCAAATTTAATTGTTGAATTGGCTGTTATGCTCAGTTATACGTTTAGTACGATGTAACGATGTTGATTAAATGTTTATTTTAGTATAGAAAATCAAAGTGCTGTTCTGAATACGAATACATTAATTAATTAATTTAAATAAGAAAATAGTGATTTTCGGCATTTTAAGAAATGTTTGTTTGGAGTTATATTTTTTTTATATGGTTTCTGTTTACATTAATAAAATAGAAATCAAAATATTCTTTACAAATATATTATCTAATGAGACATCTTATGAGTTAGGTATGATTTAATTAATCTAATTATCAATTACTGTAATTTATAATAATTTTATAAAAATTCCTGCAATTACTCTTAATTATTAAATTTTAAACCTACGAAACGAATAAATGCAAATTAGTGAAAAAGATTTCGAAAATATAAAGTTCGATTTTGACTTTTGATTATTAAATATTAAATCTGACAAACTAACATAAAAATTAAATACACAAATCACAGTAGCACTCGTCGAAAACTCGAAATAAAATATGAATCTACGTGCAAATAAGAATTAAATTTTCTTCTTATTCGCGATGTAGAAGACCCCCAAAAAGTCGAACAAAGGCGAAGAGTGCATCTGCACGGTGGCGTTTCCGAGCCGACCGGGTCGACCTCGTTCACCCCAGGGTTTCGAGTTAGGGGGAAGGGACCGGAGGGCCCGGTAGAGAGGCCGCGCGTAGTATGCGTAAACTATAAATCGTGACGCGTCGGCGGCAACGACGTTGGTAGTGATGGGTAGTGGTGACGGTGCTGGTAGTAGGGAAGCAGGGGGGGTGGGTAGAGAGAGAGCATTTAATTTGAGCTTGCGAGGAAGTAGTTGATTGGAGACGCGAGGTAGGGTTTGTCGTTGGCGGGCGAACAGTCGCCGCTCGGCCGTTGGTCTGCCTCATTTGGACCATTCGCGAGATCGCCACTCGCCGATAGATCGCAATCCCGATCTCGGCGATCAATTTCGGGGACGCACGCACACACGTGTGAGAGATCGTATCTTTTTAAATTTCATTTTAAAGGCCACGCAGTCGGGAGAGGAATCCGATTGGATCTAATCAACGCGCACGGCTTGCAAATTCCGTGTTTATCGAGTAGCCACGTGAGAAGTGGCGATTAAGTTTCCTCGCGAGCGTGCCAATCAGTCAGTCAACCAGTTAGTCAGTCAGAGTCCAGCACGAGTCAACAACGATGTGTCGCTCGTGACTTCTTAAAACTTGAACTACTTGAGCGCAACTCTCTCTTCTTCGCGATATCAAACAATAAGTGACATCGATACGGTGTGCTCTTATTATAAAATTCGTGACTGTGAAGTTCGACGTCGAACTTGGATTTTTGACGATGGATTCTGCACATCTGTCCCGCGCGTACATCTAAACTGCAATCCGCTTTGATGCTTCAGTAAGAGTGAGTTTTGGAAGTTTTTAGTGTAAATTATGTCATGTATGCTTATCTCGACTGATATTTGGCTGCAATCGTACTTTACTTTTTGAACAATTGTGTTTCAGAAGAATTAAATTTATAAATTTATAAAAGAAATGCGAATCGTTAATTTTTATTACATTTGTTAATTCTATCACATTTTTTATGATATAGATTTTTCTCTTTATATTTATCCATCTGTCACGCATTACGCACTTCTTAAATTTTGTCAAATTTTAAAATATATATTAAGAATTTGATCGATTACATAAGAAAGTTAGAAGGAAGAACGAATTGATAAGATTGCAAGAACAAGAAGAAATCAAGATAACGCGCGCTTGTAATGTCGAATGTTTACAATCGTAAATATGCAAATTTATTGTTGTATATTTTGTATTATACGCATGTTTATGGATTATTTGTATGCATGATTTATTTATTTGTATGTATTTGATTCAACTTTATGCATAACTAATTAACATAATACAACTGTGGTATTTTAATTAACCTGATAGCTATAATTAAAATCATATTTATCTACCATGATTGCCATATCTTTTTATTTTTGCATTGCTACAATGATTATGATTTTTGATATCTTAATGATCGTGTTTAATGTAACGGCAAATAAAAATTAATATTTTCGATAACGTATTGCATATGTTTATAATATACGACAATTATATGATCTAAAAAAATATAACCGTGTTTGTAATTAATTGTTATTAATCACCGTGTCGAAAAATTACGACGCATTTGCGTGTGCAGCCGATCGCAAATTCTCTTCGTGCTTCCGCGACAACGATAGTGTTAAAATTTTCCTTATCGATGCCGTCGAAAAATGTTGTTGATAATGTTGTTTACACATCGAACGCAATAGATAATTTTACTTTTATCAGTAGATAAAAAGCGAATTATCCACTTTAATTGATATTACGGGTAACTTAGAAAATTTTTTCGAAAACGCTCATTTTCTAACATCTTTCCAAATTGGCGATTTCGTGTGTTATTATTGGGACATTTATTGCAAACACTTATTGATACACGTGTTATTCGATCAAATTAGAAAGTTAATTGGAACTTTGCCGATTTGTAAACTCTCGAGTCGAATTGTGAGAACTGTCGTCTGTTGATTTGCCGAAATTTATTGCGCTATTGTGTAGCAATATCGCGTCCAAAACAGTTCAACTATCTCTTGAGTTTCTTTTCATCGCCGTTAATGTACACAGAAAAGAGATCTGCAGAATATCTCTCGCAAATATTATTTACGCCTTGAAAAATTTTCTTCTTCTATCTTATACATTCAAATGTACGTCAACTTCAATTTGAATTTGCTCTACATAGTCTTAGATTAAATTGAATTTAAGTCGCGTTATAATATTTATAATATATGAAATATTAACTTGTCCGTCCGTGAACTTTTATATAATCACCTTCTTTTTGCAACACAGCTGTAGTTCTCACTTTTCTAGCCAAGTTTAAATTTACGTATCAGCAAATTAAAAGATAAGCAAAAGTCGACGACAAACCAGATTATTCGTATGCGATTAAAATTTATTTATCTTATTATTTTGATATTATTTGTATATTGACTATTTATTCGGAGGAGATCGAATCTGATATCGGTATGGCATTTTAGCCGCATGCATTTTTTTTCAATGGTGCAGATCGTACGTTATCGTCGGTGAATAAACCATGCGGGCGATAATGCAATAATATGGAAAAAAATAGCGCGCGGGGCTAAAATCATGCAATTAACGCTCGGTGAACATAAAAACGCCGTGATTAAAATTTATCATGAAAAGAGTAACGATCTCACGCGAGTGGCGTGAAGTGACTGCGTAGAAAGTCGCAGGAATGCATCGTGCAGTAAACGCAAAGTAATCCTCTCGCGTTACACGAACCCTCTCGATGTTGTTCGACACACGGGGCCCCCCGGCCGTTCTCCCCCTAATTATTTCATAGTAGATGACCGAGTTGGATGAGCGCGCCCCTCGTTCTCCGTCCGCGAGAAACGCGGATATATTATCGCGTTTTAGAGCGCAAGTGTCATTAATCGATGCACTGCAGCTCTGTACGACGCCATCCGATTAATCGCCGGATTTTCTACTCGGGAACACGCTTGATTATCGTCACTTTCATCTAAGGATGGACGAAGGATTATGAATTTATAACAAAACTTAAAATACGTAGTTTCGTACATCGCAAGAACCTCTTATAAAATTTAAATGATGTGTAATGCGTATAAGTGTTTATATTTGCGAATACTCAATACATTTTGTTTTCGATAGCAATTTATACGATTATCATTCTGTGCAACGTGCCTTAGCGATATTATTGAATTACAATTGATATAAACAGTATTATTGATACAATTGGAGCGACATTTGCATGGTATAAGAATCTGTTTTTCTTAGCGAAACTTCAGGGAGGTTTGCTTTCAATTCTGTAACCGCGATTTATGCAGATATATATTATGAGATTTCTTTCTTTTTTTTTAATCAACTTACAGTTAATTTTATTTTAATTAAATTAAAACAGAGATCTTAAATGACACTCGATTGTTAAAAATCTCTGAGACTCGAGGCAAACTTTACAAAACATTCGGTATTTTAAGAATTTGCATAACTTTCAAGTAGAATTAGGTAAGATGTTAATGTTTTCTTTTGTTTTTTTTACACATCCAATTTATCCTACGAATGTTGTTTTATTGTTAAAACGATTCTGGTAATTCGGAGCCGGCTGTACGACCGGATAGACCGTAAAAGGAAGCCGCGAATAGATCCAACAGGTGGTCGAAATAATTTCTTGCGACACTAGCAGCAGGAAATCCAAGGTACAATGCCTATGTTCTTTGAGGACAATAATGATGCACGGCCGCGTGTAAGAATCGCGTGTCTATGTTCTCTCAGACGATACCTTATTTGTACGCGCGACTCTTTCTCTGTTTCTCGGGATTCAAACAGCACAAATATATACCTATTTAGCTTCATCTTCCCATTTGTATTAGGCGATTTATCGAGATACCTTTGACCAACGATCGAAAGTGACTCAATATTGACGTCCATCATTGGAAACGATCTTCTCGTTTCGCATGAGTGAAACGTCGGATGAATACAAACTTTGTTCTCGCCTTGACAGAGAGGCAATATTCTTCTGCCGATTCTGTAATAATTCAACTTTACAAACATTTTTCTCCTGGAATTGTGAGCTTATGTATTCAGGAAATCCAAAATCTTCTCGTGTCAGTTTAATGATACGGAAAATTTTTGGTATTCGCGTTATTAAAGCGAGTAATATAATGGAGCCGTCGTTCCTCAATATCGCGTAATCAAGCATAATGTTTGGGGGCGACAAGTATGCCAAGGGCGGCTCGATGCCATTAAGAGGTCGGTTCCTGTTGGAGCGTCCGTACAGCGCGTTGAGCGTGTCAGCGCGATAGAATTTCCAACATCTGCGAACTATCGATCGTTATTAGCAGCGACAAAATTAACTACCCCTTTTAATGTCGGGCGTGTAATAAAAAGGTACGCTATTTAACGTGCGAACTGTGATACGTTTGGCTATATTTAGTGAAACCAATCTGTCTCCCGACATAACGTAATTCGACCAAGTTTTTGCGTATCAAGTTGAACGCGTGATCTCACCGGATCGTTTTACGAAAAACGCATTGCCGCGGACTCGAAAAATGCGACTGGAGCTTGCGGTGAACCGACATGACCGTATGTCGCGGATTGTTGTTGAGAAAACTTATGTATCACGTTGCTCGATCCGTTAGATCCATCGATTGGCACGTGATGTTGGAAAATAGTCGCGCAGTCTTTTGAGCGCCGATGAAATTGCAACGCAAATGTGCGTCACAGTCAATCATAAGTAGATTAGATTAAACCATATGTGCACAAGTAGATTCTATTTATTTGCCGCGCGCATCAAATAATATATATATTCAAATAATCAAATGATAATCAATTCCACACATCTATTATGCGCCGAAGTCCCATTCGCGATTTATTCCTTACGAAATCCCGCGCTTCTCGTTGACTCTGTAATTGAATATTTTTTGTTGCTGTTAATCTTGTAATTTTTTTAATACGAAAGATATATTTTTTTTGTTCGCAGCAGAAGATTTGTTCGATATCAGAAATGTCACTCTTGTCACAAAAGTTAACACTGCTATCGAGCATTAATACTACTGATAAAATATATTTTATCAGAGAAAGGATTGACATCTATTATTGATCATATGATTATTATTATTTGTATTACTATTAAAATCACTATTCTAATTTTTTAAATTGTTAATTTTTTTATTTTTGCATTTATTGTATCATTTTATATTTGCATCTTTTTATATGTACTTGTTTAACTCTGCGATCTTTCTGACGATTTTCTGATGATCTTCTTTTTTAGAGATCGACGGAAGAATTAACCAAGTGCAGCACGATTACGTTGTCGGAGGAAATTGCGGACAACACCGGCGCCGCGACGACAACACATACGGAGAAGATCATGGGTGTTTGCAGAAAAATCATACGTTTGATATACGTGTTGGATCTGGTTTTGGCATTATCTGGTAAGTCAACAATACGAAATGGAAAATAACAGTTATCTTGCACAATTTGCATACTATTTGTTTCGCTTATTTTTCTACTTTTCTTGCTACTTGAAGTTCTACCTGACGAAAGAGGCCAAAAATAGGTCAAAAAATTCTTATTGTTTGCTCAACAATTTGACAAATATTTATATCAATTTAAATGAAAAATTTCGGCTATCGATGTACGCGATAGCGCGCGCGCGCGGGCGCAAAATTCGCAATTAAAGTTTGCGGAAATAATCATGTTATTACGTAATTCTCGTAAATTGAATTTTAAGTTTTATTTATTGCGTTTCTCCGTCGTGTATGTAATTTCACGTCGTAGCAAATTCTATCAAACTCGAATTTGACGATCACTCATGCATGTGGATGGGTTTGATAATCTTTCGACATTTGCCTCATTTATTTAAATTTATCGCTAGCAAACTTTTTTCGAAATATCCACCATCGTCATCTTTTTATCAAATATACAAAGTGCTGAAGACCAACCGTACGTTAGTAAATCTATTAATTAATAGCATATTTTTGAAGTTATTTGAAATCGAAAATCTTTATACCAAAATGTCAAGGCTACAATAATTTTTAAATGAGAAAGTTGATCAATTACATTATCCAAAAGTTACACGCTCAAGCATGTCGCATATTGATTTTGATATCTTTCATATAAGAAACCTCAGAAATCTGCTATTAACGAGTGACACAGTTAATCCGAGATACTTTGTATATTTTATATTATTTTATATAAATCTACTCCCTTTATGATATTACAATAAAAATAAATTGGATTGATTTACCGGTACAATGCGCAACAGCGAACTGTTCATAAGTTGATCTGTAACATACAAGGCACATCTAAATTATAGCAGCGTTTAAAATAATTGACAAATAATTATTACGCACGTTAAACTTTTACTAATTTTTATGCAAATATCTAATAAAAGAATTGTATATTGATATATAATAACCGTAAATATTAAAAATTGCAAATTTTTATTAAATATTAAAAATTTCTCCTCTTCTTTTCGCTCCTGCTTGCACTTCTCCAAAGCACTTACCGCGTTCGTGACATGAATATGAAAATCGCACGATGTGTTTGAACGGCGGTGTTCCCGACGCGTACTTTGTCACATTAGAACAAAAATAAAACTTGCACGGAATATCATCGGACGAATTACATGTTCGACACTCTGCCGCATCTGTAAAAGTAAGGGCGAGGTCGAAAACTATAAAAAATAATAAGGATGGTATTATTGAAGAGGATAACGTACATACGGTTTCAAAATTCTTAACTTAGAGAATTTATCGAATATTTATCGAAATCGAGTTTAAACTCGATTTCAACTTGTGAACAACTCCTCTGCTGCGTATCGTAAATCAATCTAATTTTGTTTTATTTTAATATCATTAAGAGAATATATTAAAAAATAATGTAAAATATATAAGGTATTTCGGATTAATCTATCACCCATTAATAGTAGATTTCTGAGGTTTTCATATGGTAAAGATATAAAAATCAATATGCGACGTGTTTGTGTGCGTGAATTTTTGACAATCTAATCGATGAACAAATACTTCCCATTTAAAAACTATTGTAGCTTCGATTTTTTAGTATAAAGACTTTTGTCTTCAAATGATTTTAGAAAAGTCTGTTATTGTCTGGTGATACGGTTGGTGGTCTTGGACATCCTGTAAACCTACTCACTTCTTTTGAAAGGGAAATTCCAAATTGTGGATTTCGCGGTCACTCACGTTTCAGTGAGCGTTTCCGCAATGCAAGTCATACCGTCTATTTTAGTCTAACGCGTATGAGAATGGTAGACACGCCGAATATCGTATTTAAAGTTCATCCATTTCGCTAATTAAGCTCAGCGTGGCTTTCATTAGCCCCATAAATACCCGCGGCTGACGAATGTGCATGTCTTTACGGGAGGGAGTGTTAGCTTGTTAAACTGATGCGTCTGACGTTATTGCATTAGCAAGCGAACCGCGAATAGTCGGAAGTGCACGCCGCGCATTCTTCCTGAACAATGTGTCCGTTATAAGTGTGAAACTTCACGGAAACTGACGCGCTATTATAGTTAATTTAATTCTCACAGACAGTTGTGGTTCGCTTTTTCAAGCGCAGCAATTATCTCTTCTCTGCTTCGCTTTCACTTGGCAAAAGATTTATAAATGAAAAAGAAAAGAGAATACGAGATATAATAATCAACATTATGATTTTATTTTTGCTTTATATTTTTTGTTTCTATTTCCAAAAATTCATTTTTTCGATTACTAATATATCTTTTAAACGGTTTTGTAAAAAATATAGAACCTGAATCTTTTGAGAGAGATTCATGTACTTTTATCAGAGAATATTATTATGATATTTTTTACTCTCTTTTTCATTAGTAATGATAAAATTTAATGTAAAATTGATATGTAATCAATTATTGTTCGGCATCAGACCGATCACACCCGAGAATTGGATTTGACCGAGAGATTCTTTTTTTTCTCTTTCGCTTGCGTGGTACGAGTGCGGTCTTTTGCATGGAAGCGCATTCGTCGGGGATGAAACCACGCGTGTAATGAAGCCTGACAGAGGGAAACCGCGAACTGCGTAATGCAATATCACACACGACTGTTTGACTAGAATTTTTACGGGCGTTGCCGCTTTGTGCAATGCAATATATTACAGACGGCTGTTTGACTAGAATTTTTACGGACGTGCGTCGCTTTAAATACCTCTGCGCAACTGCTGTCGCGTAATGATGGCAATGAGCCGCACAGTCTCGTTCTAAGCATCATATGCGACAATTACGAACATACGACTGTTATTCGATGCGAGGAATCTCTTGAAAGTGAATATATTCAAAGTATGCAAAAGAACTGGCATTTAACATATCTAAGTCGCGATTATTTTTTTTTTATTGGTGTCAGAAGAATTTTATATATACGCATTTTATTACATTCATTTTATCATTATGTAAGTTTAAGTTAAAATATATTTTTGATAACATATCATTGCAATCAATAGTTACTTAGAGTTGCAAAAAGAAGCAATTACTAAAAAAGTAAAAAAGAAGATAAAACTTTGACAAAAATTTCTATTTTGTACAATTTGCATTTTTAGATACAAATGTACTGTAAATAATTCTGAATTAAGTTGATTTACAAATGAATACATATTGAGCGAGCTAATTTTTTTATAATATTTTTTTTTTCTTTATATTGTCTCAATCGCGCGTGCGTATTGCGTCAATGCTATTCGTGTGACAAATCCTCGCGTGGCAAGAAAAAAAGAAAAAAGTTTTACATATTCCGAGGTATCAAACGGGGCTTTAACCTCTTAACTGATTATAGCACAGCCGTGTATGTCGCGCGGGTGAGCGTTGTATTCTCCCCCGCAACGTTTACGGCATACAGATGTGTGCCACTCATTGTCCGTTTCTCTATGCGCCTGTCACATATGTAACGAGTGTGATACGCACGGTTAGTCAGGCTCGAATTAAGGGGCCTGACTCAAGACTAATTTCGAGATTTAGGGGTCTTCCTAAAGGCGTAAATGTGCGCTCATACATGTATACGCATGCGACCCTGAATCGAACGATGCCTCTTGCACGTAAAAGTCGTTACATAATCCAGTCCATCTTACAATTAATCGTAAAATTGATACTCTGTTATTTAATGAATTTTTCTCGGCATAAATTATAATAGATTATGTATCAAAATTATTATTTTTATTACTAAAAAGGAAATGATTAACTCAACATATTTTTTGATTATGCTTTACATTAAAAGTTACAAATGAGAAACAACAAATAAAATATAAATACTGTAAAAATAAAGCATAAATACTCATTTTAGTTTGATAAAAATTTAAACCGTCTTAAATATTCAGATAAAATATTGAGAAGAAAACATTGAGATAAAGTATTTTTGATAAAATTAGCTTACTCAATATTTATTTATTTATAAGACGGTTTAGACTCTTATCAAATTAAAATAAGTATTTATATGTCCCCCCCTCTCTCTCTCTGTATTCAATATTATACAGATTATTTGATCTTTGGTATATTTAGGTCAAATTTTAATTAGTCGTGATGGTTACGTATGTTTGTCGCGAATTGATAAATCAAGATAAATTGTATAAGCAAATGAGCAAGTCGTGAGTTTCCATTTTGTATTGTTTCTCAACTTATGTGCGTATCGCGTCAATGTTATATGTGTGGCAAATCTTCGCGTGAAAAGAAAAAGAAAAAAATTAATACAATAGAAATACTAATTAATAATCGAAAGTAGCAGCGCAGTAACAGCGTTCGCATATAAATTTCGGTGTTCTTATAATTCTAAGATAATAGTGATCGGTGATGAAATCATTCATGATGAATCGTATAAAATTTTTCGTAGAACATTTTTGTGTACGACGATGTCGAGTTAATAAGTCATTCTACCGTTTTCCAACTTGCGTAGCTAAACGTCGGCATGCATTAAGAATGAATCACGATACACGTTGCAATTCCGGTCTACTCGTTTTTCTTTCTATCGCGATGAGACATCGCTCGCTGCGAAAGTGTGACAAAGGGTACTTAATCCCCGTAATTTGCCCGCTCGTCTCGTTATGCAGCAAGTATGTAGCCGCACTCGTGGACGCGGAAGATCAAGGCTGCCGCGATTCCGGACATATACAGCTACAAACAGTCTTTCTAAACAGAAAGAGGAGACAGTATGTTTGATTATATTCTCAATAGTTTATCTCACTCTGATAACTTATTGTGAATTATTGAATTGATAATTGATAACCTTCGATGTTAAATAAAAAAAGAATGACATGTGTGTGATATTTAATTAAAAAATTTTTTTTTCTCAAAATCGCTAAAAAAATTACTCGTGTATATGGCGATTTATTTGATATGCTAATTGTGCAGATTGTTCGATCTTTGTAACATTTGCAAATTTTAATTAGTCATGATGATTACACATGTTTGTTGCGAATTGATAATGAGGAAGCGTGAGTTTCAGTTTTGTACACAAGATTTATTTTAATAGCTGTTTGACAAGTTTAAAGTGTTTAAACAGATACAATTAAATGGATACGAAAGGAAAGAACAGAAAAAAGGGACACGTATAATGCGCGCATGTATGTCCTAGTAATATAAAGATAGAAATATCTTAAAATTACTCAGCAGTACGTTAAAATTGTCATCAAGTCCAAGAAAGGATTATTGTGTAAAAAAAAGGTTTGATTAATTTTATTTGCTAATGTTGTAAATATACATAATTTATACATAACTTTGTAAATATATTCATAATTTTGCGGTTATGATGTAGCAAAAAATTGTAAATCGCAATTATTACGCGGTAATTATCGTATTTTTTTGTCTCGCGTAAATAATCGGATTGTACAATATTATACATGAAACATTGGTGTAGCAAATCGTAATTGTAAATCGCAATTATTACACGAGTAATTATCGTATTTTTTTATCTTGCGTAAGTAACTGGATTGTACATGGAACATGCATATCTAACGACAAAAAGCTGCTGTTTTTTGAGTAGCACATGGCAAGTGCATTTTGCATTCACGCTCGACGGGGAGATAATATTTATCAGATTTATTTCTTTATAGAAACCGCATTCTCGAGTCAAATTTATTTGTCAAGATTATTAATATATGTAATGTCTTATTGTTTTAATCATAAACTTTAACTACTGTGTTTATAAATTTATATAGATATTTTCAACAATCTAATTATATTTTTAGAAAAAAATTAATTTATTGAAAATACGTAAGATGCTCCAAATCTTAAAGCAATAATAACTTATGCAATGCATTGGATGTTTGTTTATGTTTACGTTTTGTATATGTTTAGTTTAAAAGATTTAAATATAATAATTTAATTATTAAATGATTGATTTTGTTCAGAACTCTAGCAAATTTAATTGATTACCGTGCACCTGGTAATGTTCGAGTTTTCGTTTTACATTCTTTTTGTATTCTTAATTATTTTCCGTTCTAAATTCTTATTGTGCTCTCGATATTCTTAATTTTGTTACATTTGAATGTTTGCAGACATTTGCAGAATTTATCTATAATAATTTATTATCATTGAACTTTTATTAAGGATTGTATTACATTCTTGACATTTTACCGACAAAATTTCCTTGATCAATTATGTATATCGCATATATTAAAACAGGAAATTTTGCCGGTAAAATGTCAAAGATGTAATATAAATTTTTTTATTGCGAAACGTATAACGCGAAGTATCAGCGTCCAAATAAGGAATGTGGTATCTTTGACCTTTTACCGGCAAAATTTGCTGTTTTAATACATTATACGAAATTTTTTGACGGTTATTTTTATTATTCGGTTTTAATACGAAATCGACTTTTTTCATGAGAAAACTTGTCCAAAACTTATTTCCGTCTTTATTTTTTTTATTTATATATTTGATTATTCGTGACAAAATTAATTTTTTTTATTATAGATTTTATTTGTCGTGACAAATGCGAGCAGTAGATCGATACACGCATTGTATGTTGTCGATGATGCAGCTTAATAAAATTATCGGTATACACGCATGAACGCAATATTACAATAATTTACCTATGGAATTGTTATTTAGATAATTGACCCACATTTGCCTCGTCGACTGATTACGTTATTAATATTATTGTGCGCATGTTATACACAAACTCAGTATTTCTGATCAGGAAGGAAACTGTAGAATCTCTCTCTTGACAATCGAATATCCATAGAGATAAAAATTTATATAGTTAATAATTTAGATATTTTATATTAAAAACATGACTTATAATTCAAAATTTTTCTGTGTATGTGTCAAAGGAATTTATTTAAAATAAATAAATAAATAATATTTAAAATAAATACATTTCTCTTAGAACCTTTATAAATAATAAAATTTATAAATTATAAAACCTACGAAATTTTCCACTAAATTAAAATTTCACGTGTTTGCATGTAAATCGGATTTAACATGCAATCAGAAAGTTACACATTGCAACAGGAGATTTCAAAGAATTTGATATTGAAAACTGCCGAAATTACATTATTATTTTTTCACGATTGCGTGTGCGTTTTCTCCTTTTGCTTGTATTATTTCATAAAAATCTAAGGATGTCTTTTATATTTGCAACGCATTTTAGAAACATCATTAATGTTACGTTTGCGCACGCGCGCTAAATCGTAGTAATGACGTGACAGATAGCGTGACATTATATATATGACTCGCGTTCGGAGTATTCGTGTTATATGCGAGCGAGGATGTCGTCGTTTTCCTTTCGCGAGACGCGCAGTAATCCATTTGTCGAACGAAAAAGATTTTCCGATGTGAAGGAGAAAGGACGGCGTCAAAGGAAAGTCAGCGAAAGTCAGAGGATAATGCCATATGTGATCAAGTGGACTCGTCGCTATAAGTATATTTGTAGTGCGTTTAGTAAAACAATTTCTTTTTAATCGTGTATATCACAACCAATCGAAATTGAGATAATCGCGGCTAGTTCAAATCCGCGCGCGAATACGGAAAAATAAATCTCATGTTATTAATTACCGCGGAAGAATCTGCTGAAAACATTTGTGCGTAATCCGTAGCATGGAAATTCGAATACGAGGCGGTAGTAATTTCAATCTTTCGCACGATTGCTAATGCGGTTACGCACCTTTATCTAATCTGCTTCATTACGAAAAAGATTTCATCATTTGACACAATTGTCTGCTGATTATTATTTATCAATTATCAAAATTTCGTATTTGATTTGATAATTACATGTCTTATTTTAAGCAGTATAATTCTTAAAATTTTGGAATTTTTAAAAGCAGATAGTCGAAAAAATAGGAAAGGAAATTAATTTGTTCTTGATGCCAAAAACTTTCTTCATGTCAGTTTTTATCTCTAATGCAATTTAAAATGTTTTAATTTGTATGTTGAAATCCGCTTGAAAAACTATAGTTACTAAAAAGAATAATTTATTGTTATACAGAGTGTTGTAAAATTCCCGAATGTCTATTTAATTAGATTTTTGAAGTAATTTAGAACCGATTTTTTCCTCTGCCAAAATATTGAGGAAAATTGTCACACTTTTCTAATTTTTAACTAATTCGCATTTATTTTTTTCATTTTAGTGATTTTGCTTGTGGCGCTATTGGAGCTCAATGTGTTACCGCATCAGCAGATTGGCTTCTTCTGCAATGATCCGAAGCTTTCGTTCAAGTTCACGGGCGACACGATCTCCATGGGCTTGCTGATAAGCGGCACTGCTCTCATGCCTATAATAGTGGTAAGTACATATATCTTTTTATATTCGATCGTATGCCAAACTTGTGAAAGAATTTGTTATATGTTGAATATATTTAATAAGTCGCTTACGATATTAATTATATTTTAAGGATATTCCATAAATGTTGTAAATTTCAAGTTGGATTAAAAATGTCCAGAAATGTCCGCAGATTAAATGCAAAATTTTTTAAATGATTTTTATGACTGACGAAGAAAATATAATAAAACATTTAATATTAATTTTAGAAATAGTTTTGTTTTCGTTTTAAATGTTTCTTTCTATTTTTAGTTCTTTAGCATCCGTTCATACCAAACATTTAAATTCTCCTAGGATAAAAAGAGGTGACAGGTCTTGCATACTTTACTTATTCAAGATTTTTACTACTCGAGTCAAAGGTTAAAACGTATGATTTACATTTCCTTTATTATATGTACTGCATTGTAAATGCAAATCTGTCTCGACGACTGCAATCTATTCTTACTTCTTTTTAAGATGGATTATGTGTGTGCCGGCACTACATAATACATAATAATTAAACCAATCGCTAAGCAATGTTTATAAATTTTAAATTTACTTTTTTTAAAATAGAAGAGCTTATTGAATCCATAATTCGTAAGATCTACTTACAATTAGAAAAAGTTTTATTTAAATCTTGCAAGTTATAAATTTATTTTATTTTTTTGCATTGAAATTTTTATTAGTTTAATGTCAAAGTTTAAGTAGCCCATTTTTTCTTATACTATAAAAATTAATTTATTATTGTTTATATTATAATTTATATTTAAGAAAATAAGTATCAAGGTTCAAAGATTTATTTTTATCAGAAACATGAAATTATTTATTAATAATGAAAAAAATATGAAAATCACACAAGAATGGTGAAATGAATGCCCGCGCCGATAAAAAGACACTAATTTACTTTCGGAAAAAATTCATAATTCTTTTTTTTTTCACGTCGTGATGCAATCTGCAACGACGAGACGGAAGTCTCGAGAAATTAGAGTGATGTATGTATCACTTTTTGCTCGCTTTCAGATGGGGATCGCAGAATACGTCTGCCATCTCACCAACAGTTACGAGAATGTGCCGGGTCGCAGCGGCAGCACCAGGAATAGACAGATCTGGCGTTGGTACAGCGATTACACTGTAGGAATCCTCACGCTCACGCTCTTGTGCGCGATCATGAAGATTTTGATCGGTGAACCGCGACCGCACTTTTTCGACACGTGCAAACCACACGAGGCGAACAATTGCACCGATGAGTAAGCATGATCGCTTTCTAACTTGCCTCCTTTGTTCCGGTGTAGCTGCTACCCGACTTAGCTCCTACTTTTCTGTTATCGGCGTAGGCAGACCCGATATACGAACAGCATGTATGTAACGCATGAATGGACTCTGACAAAGAAACAAGGAAATTTGCATGTCAGGCATCTATAAGTAATTGCCAAATAGGAATCATTGTCGGAGAATAAAATGTAGTAAACGGACTTGTTAATTAAAATTGATTGTAATGTGATTCTAAATTATATACATATCTGCATACGTTAATAAAAGTATATGTTTTTTTTATTTAACTTAAAAATATAATTAATTATATAGGCGATGCACGTATTGATTGCAAGCAAAGTAGGTTTACTCGTTGCAAGTACCGAATACTTACAGTCGGTTACATAGAGTTCTACAGCGCAATTAGTATATTTTATAACGTATCGCATTTTTAAAATAATATTAATAAAAATTATATATTGGAATTAATATTCTTTAACTATAATAAGAATTTGTTTAATTTTTAATTTTAAGTTTTCATGCGCTTACTAAGGTTCTCGAATTTTTTTTTCAGATACATCAATTCTTATACGTGCACAAATACTAAGACGTCATATTTTTACATCCAGGATTCCAGCAAGTCTTTTCCCTCCGGTCATTCAGCTCTCTCGGTGTACACAAGCATCTTTCTGGTGGTAAGAACTCGAGAAATATCTTTCTAATACACTAGTTAAATCAAAGAGAAATCTGAAAATGGTCATCTTTGCATTTTTCGTGAGATTCTTAATGATTGAGGATTACATTACATTGTATTATATTAAATTATATTGTGTAATATATTTATTTCTGACAGTAATATGTACATGTACGAAACGACTGTATTGTTTACCGGTAGTGTCGAAAAATAGGTGTGGCTATGTAATTTTAATTAAAAAATGAGTGCAAACAGCAATATATTAAAGATACGAAGATCGATAAATTTCACGAAAAAAACCAGGATGACTGTCGTCAGAATTCTTCCTGATAAAACGATAAAACGTTTCGTCAATTTATCCGTAAAGTTCAGTAACCTGCTGGCAATGCAGAAAACTTCGATGCCAGTGTCGAACACTTTTCTCTCCGGTATCGATAGTCAGTATCTAAGCGGCAAACTAAAGAATCTTGCGAAAAAAATCCACTAACAATATATCGATTTTTGCACAACGGATAGATAAATTACGGGAGTCACCAAGTAAATTTCCAGAAATAAACGTGATTCATTTTAAAGGCGGAAGAAAAGAGATAAATATTTCGGCAAGAAACAGAACAGACCGGTTTTTTGCGTACTTTCGCCGCCAACGAATATCGTCTCGTCGCGCGAGAGAAGTCCTGTTTTCACTTTTATTTAAACGTCGCTTTGTCGCATCGCACACAGTGGTATCTGCAGATCCGTATGCCGAATCGGACATTGTTTCTGAAACCGTGGCTGCAATGCCTCGTGGCCATGTGGGGCGTGACGTGCTCGATGACCCGAGTGAGCGACAACCGGCACCACTGGTGGGATGTGCTCGCCGGCGATGTTCTCGGGTTCCTGTTCAGTCTGTTCGTCGTAACAGTGCCCTGCCGGCTCTTCCATCTCGATTGCGCCGCCGCCACCGTCTCGGCGACGCACACCCTTAACGAGACTCTGGAGAACGGCCAGATCGGCGAGAACGGCTTTGACAAGCAGCGCAAGCAGAACACAAAGTTACTCAGTCCTGCCGTCGTCGATATCTCGGAGGCCCGGGAGATGAAGGACATCACGACCACTTGGAGGGAATGAACGCGAGACGTTCGCGCGGAACAATTTGCAGTATAAAAGTAGAATAGGAGGGGGAGAGGGATGATCGAATCACTTGTTTTGGAAATGCCTTTGCCATCCAAAGATGTCGGAGTTTCTGACTTAAATTTTCGTTGGTAATTTTGCGCAACAAAACATTGCAATTATCCATACAGAGGTGATAATAGAACAGAAGTAGCATGCCTTTTCTCGCAGTTGTATCGGTGCTATCGTATTTTTTACAAGGATTTTGGACGTAACTTTCTTTCTGAAACGATTGATTCAATCATAGAGATCTATAAGCTTGGTGGGGAGGTTTCTCTCGATGCACATCGGGGATTGAAACGTACGACATTGATTTTTCTATTAACTTACAAACTGCTCAGAGTACGAAATAGTCGAACGTTTACATTCCGCTGAAAAGATACACATATCAAAATCACGTGCGCGTCGATCACAAGGTTTTAGCAGGTGCGAAATGGTACTGGACTCGGAAGGGAACAGTAGGAAGTTCGTAAGTAGGATCAAGTCACCAGTTTTTGGCCGTTTCTAGCACATGTTAGTAGATATTGTCGTATTAACTATTTTTTCAGGTATCTTACGAATCGTTTTAGGCAGCATTTTTTTATCAATTTAGGTGGTAACAGTTATTTTGCAATATTTCTAAAAATTTCGATTTTGACTAGGTTTGGTTTTTTAAAACCATATAAAGAGAAATTTATTTAATATAAACGGAGTAGAAATACAAAAAATATAGTCAAAACTGGCCCTACGTTGATCCTACGTGAATGCAGATCACTCGCGCGTGTTGACTGTTGACTGATCTGCGTAGGTCTGATTTAGTAATATAGTAATAACCGTAAAAATCGAGAGCCAACCAATTGAACAAAATGGTAATCTGATGCGACAAGTTAACTTTGTCTCCATCTGAGATTTTTCTCTTCGTCAATACTGACGTCTCTTAATATCTCAAACGTTCCCCGCGCTCTTATCAATACTTACATTCCTGCAACGATTACACAATTTAATTATCTAACTTTGAAAATTGCCATATCAATGAATCCCAGATGTGCGTGTCGTCAATGCTACGAATTCACCTAATAAGAGTCAAATGCAACCAATTCGAGTTGTATGTATGTTGGGTTCTATCATCCTATTATTGGGTTCTATTATTATGGGTTCTATTCCTCGCTTCAATCTTCGGCTACATTTTAGACGAAAAATAGAAGCAAACCGCGTGCAATCCGTTTTTTATTACGTGTAAAATTTTGTACTATAGCAAAGGATTTAGTTTTCATTTCTAGTATATAATGCGCAACTAGCGGATAAAATAAAACTTGAATTAATGCGTTAGAAGATTAAGTCAGTGGTAAGTTAATTTATTCACGATAATTCTTAAAGATTTATAGGTGTATATTAAAAATCTTTTTTTCACATTCCGAAATGCAACTTTCGAATGTACATATTTTCGTCGATGTGAGATAATTCTTAATTTATTTACGAGTAATGAATAGCAACAAAAAATTGATGCGAAAAGAGCGCCCTCACGGATGTGCAGAAACGAATGTATATTATAAATAGTAGTATTATTATAGCCGTATGGTATTATTATCTGTAGTTTTATTATCTCTAAAAGTGGACGTTAATACGTCGTTAACAAAGCGATTTTCAAACCGCGCGGCGCGGCACGGCTTTTAACATCGGTTTTTTTAACCAGTGAAAAGCCGTGCGCGATAAGGATGTCGCTCGACGTAAGTCTCATACTCGAATACTTTTCGCAATAGTATTGAAATGACGTATATGCACGTACGCGCTGGGAACATAAAGTATTCACCTGTCAGAGTTATGGACCATAAATACAAGTAGTATTTATATACTACACAATGCAACCGCGCGCGGTGGATAATGGTGGAGTAACGCGAAATTAAAGTGATTACATTGTACGTGAGTGTGCTTTAACTCTGCCAATTGTTATTTTTATAGTGTACACCTACCGTAAGGAGCGTGTTATTTCTAATACGCCCCATTCGATTTCCGTCATATATAATCACACATTATGCGAGATTGTAAATATTGTAAAAAGTATTATTTAAGGTAGGGAAGGAATTTTTTCTATAAATGAATTGCATTAGTTGAAACTAATCGCACAATCCTAGTATGAATTGTAATATGTTTCGCGATTGTGTACATAGAAGGTGCATGCTGCGACGAGCATATGTACCGCGGCTTATTTTTACTCGAGATTATTCTTAAGCCGATCTTAAGGCACTGCCTTCTTTCCAGCCTCGCGACCGCAAAATATTGACTTTATTTGGGATCTCCATTATACTAACTAATCCAGAAAAACTGCTCATTAGACTAAAACGAAAAGAAAACAATGTTTTAAGCGAATAGAAAAATAGTATATATTTTTTATAATTTTTGCATATAAATAAATTTACTCTTAACGAGTATCTGATAAATTAAAATTAACTTTTGCGTCATTATCACAATTCTACTTTTATATAAATAATACATAAATATTTAAATGCTAAATTTTTATATTAATTATCGATGAGATGGAAAATGTTTTATCGCATCGTGGAGTCCCCAAAAGTCTACAATTTAGATGCGGAAAACTCGCTCCGTTGTTTTGAGATTTTCCTTGTACAAAATAGTATCAATTTGCCTGTCGAGCAAAAGAATGAGATGCAAAAGTTAGAAATAAAATGTTTTCCCTCAACTTTGAATTCTCCCCTCTTTCGTCCTTACGCCAAGTGAATGATCGCGCTCCCTTTGAAATCCCGCGCTCCCTCCCTCGTTTTCCCACTCTCGTGTCATCAAATAAATCTTACAGGACAGCGATCGCTGGTATCCTTCGACATCGGCGGGAGAAGAGCGGCCATCGGACCCACCACCGCAGAGCTCGACGTTAAACCGTGCCGTGTGAAAGCACTCTTATTCTGGCAGCTTGCGTCGCTCGTGAATTTTTAATCATCCCGAATGCAGGATGTACCGTGAGTCTCTCTTTTTAATTTTAACGATAGATCCTCCGACCAATTTGGAGGCAATTTTTCTTTGGGCAAAAAGTTGACGTGCCACTTGAACATGTTCGACGTTAAACACGTTAGCAAGTGAGTCGCGAATTGAATTTAGCAGAAATTAGAGTTCACTTAGCGTGCAAAGATTTGATCGGATTGTGTTTTAGAAATTATAACTTATCTCTTAATTTTTTAAATTAAAATTTGATAGGAACGATAGCACTCTAGGAAGATAGGCAAAATCAACATAATCAAGTGTGAATCAGAAACGATATTTCTTGTTTTAATTAATTTTGTCTCAAAATTTTATAACGTATTTTATTTAAAACTCTAAAAATAGAGTCAGTTGCCCTTTTCACGTAACACAAAAGTATCTCTTAAAGGGAGGTCACACAGAAAAATACTCTTTTATTACTCATTATTACAATATTATCTCGCGAAGAGGAAAGCGAATCGTTCGATGTTACGATTTAAAGTCGCGATAAGCTCAAGTCCGGACGCGGAACCCGTCGGAAAACCTGTGGCGTTTTCTATAAAACGACACGCGCTCCAAGATACACCATGGACGCCGACCCCTCCCTCTCTTTCGCTCTTTCACCCGCCCGTGTCTTTTTTTTCTCGCACGCGCGAACGGACGGACGGACGTGCGGGCCGAAACAACGAGCGATTTAATTTGGTGGCCACGCGTACGTAACGCGACGGACGGATGGACGGGCCGAAGCATTTTTTCGTCGAGGCCGAGTTTTTCTCTCTCTTTTTTTATTCCGCTCTCGCCTTTCTCTCCCTCTCGCGCGGCTCGTCCTCCTTTTTTTTGCTTCCCCGACGAAACAATTGGTTAGGGGGGAGAGGGTGCATGCGGAAGGGTGCGCGGGTGTGGGGTGCTCGAGGCGGGCGCGTGTGAGGGTGGCACAGCAGGAGGAGGACGAGGAGGAAGAGTGCGGCGCGGTGCGGAAAGGGGGAGGGGGGGAGGTGGGGTGAGATTGGCGCGGTACAGAGAGCGCGGCGCGGAGGTTGGATGAGAGAGATGAAGTGGCAGATTAACGTCAACCGACGTAGGCCATTCATAACTGGGCTCCACAGCCACGGCGGCCGTGTGTATGGCAGCGCGAGCGAACGAACGAGCGAGCAAGCGAGCGGGCGAGTGAGCGAGCGAGCGAGCGAGCACGCGGATACGGTGCATACATACATACGCGCGCGCGGATACTGTGTGTACGTACGCGTGGAGGAGGAGGGGGCTGGGAGCGCGCACGACGATTTATAGAATTGGAAAAACGATATCGGAAAAATAGTAAACTTTATTGATGAATCCCTTCCCGACCTCTAAGCGATATCACAACGAGAGCGCGAGTCGACCGCATTCCCGCGGTGCTACAGGTGGCATGTAAGCCAATCGACGATTCCCTCCACCTCCACCTGCACCTCCTCCTCCACGTCCTCCCCCTCGGTACTCTTTGACTGACGCTTCCCGTCCTTCGTAAAAATGCCTTTGAAATACGTCGAAATTAAAATCGCCGCGCGAAATGCGGCGCGTGCCGCCGCGGATCCAAAAGGGTTTACTTGAGAAACTCGTTCCCGAGCTCTCGCTCGCGTTCCTTGCGCTTGTGTATCTGAGAAGCAGACGGAAGTAAGTCGCCAAACAGTCAAGTTTTGACGCATCTATGCTGTCGTAGTCGGGAGAGGAAAATTTTATCAGTTGCGGGTAAGTCTAGCTAGATATGTAAGATGTATTATTTTGTATATATATAATGTTCTTTTAAATGAAAACTTTGTATAAACGAAGAATTTATATTACCGAATGTTTATTCATGCACATATTTATTTAATTTATTTCTTGAAAGTGCGTATCTGATTCTGCACTTTCACAAATTTCTCTTTAAAAAACAAGTGCTCCCCCCCCCTGCGCTCTTTTCTGCTTCTCAAATATCGATACGTTGGGTCTTTCGATGATAATTTTGAGATAAATAAATATTTCGAAGTGAGATATTGAGAGAGTGAAATGTTTGAAAGTACAAGAAGCTGTGCGCATTAATCATTTCATTTTTCCGACATTTCTGGCTTTGAATATATTTTTCCTGTTTTGCATTTTTTTCCTTACTAATGCAAGAAGATCAATCACGTGCATCACGAAGTCAGTATTTGTTTCATGCCTGCTATTGAGCGGTGGCACAATGTCCGATGCAGAATGTAATCGAGTTCGATACGGTAACCACGGGTGATTTTATTGTTATCGTATTTCGGCGTAAACCTCGTAACCCCGTAACAACGCATTATCGACGACATCAAACATCGTTACTACACGTTTGCCGTTAAATAGCGTCTGCCGTGTTTTAACCATTTTTGACCTCCCACGCGCGATTCCTTTCCATCCGCGTTCTTCAGAATCAAATAATTCTATCCGCACCTAATACTTTTATGCACTTACGTACCTAACAAAAATCAGCCATCGAATCATCATCGAGTATTCGAAATAACAGTTTATCGAACTTTGAAAAAATATTTTGCAGAATTCTACCGCGTTATTTCTCAAAGTTGCATATAGATGCAAAATATTGTTTCTCAGTTACTTTTAAGTGGACTTGAATTTGACGTGAAATTGTTAAGGGATTTAATATGAAGGATTAAAAAGTCGCAATAAATGCTAAATCTGGCTCTTGTCAAAAATTCGCTCGAAATTGATCACAGAGTCCGTAGCTGTCGGAGCGGTCGACAATTCTAGGACGTCGTGTATAATGTTTTACGTTAGGTTCGACCCTGCCGAAACTCTCAAACATCTCGCTCATGTATAATGCGGCGTATTTGTTGTTCGCGTTCGCCCGTGTACCAATGATGCGGGACGAGAGAGAGAGAGAGAGAGAGAGAGAGAGAAAGAGAGAAAGAGAAACGGATAAATGGCGCGTAGCCCCGGGCGTAATTCCAGGAGGAGCGTGACGCGGAATATAACGAAATAATATCTTCATCCCCGCGCGCGCCGTATCCGCGTTATCAGTCGCGGCCATTTTTCAGGGAGCAACAAAAACCGCGGAGAAACTTCCGCGGAGATGTATTGCCAAAATTACTTTCTGCGGCGATAGCGCTCGTGCAGCACGCGCGTCGTATCCTCAGTCGCGAAATTGAAGCTTGCGACCGGCGCCACATCGGGAAAAGCCGCGAAAGATCCCTTAGAAACGAAAAGTGTGATCTACGCCAAAATATGTAAATTATATAATTTATGGGGGATCGAGGGAGGAAAGTCCTCAGTCGCAAAATTGATATTTGTAATCAATATCATTGTTCGATCGAAAAAAAACCATAAAAAATCTTTTTAAAAAATGTATAAAATTGTAGATTTTAAAGATACGGACAAACAAATATACAAAAATATAATAAGAACAAATAAAATGTAAATTGTATAATTTACGAAAGATCACGGAAGAAAGCATTGAAAGTTGAACATCGGTTTTCTAAGAAGAAGCCACCATTCGAGATGAAAAAAAATCGAAGGATGTAAATATGAAAAATAAATCAGTGAAAATATAGGTGACGCAATAGGAGAAAAAAATGGAAAATTGAATTATGTATGTTCTTGAAGCATCCAGGAGAGGAAGGCTCGCCATTGATAGTATTGTGAGGTGAACTACTCGGATACCCGCGGATGCTCCGTCCGCCTCTGGGGCGACTTTTCGCCTGCGCGAACGAAATGTTCTAACAATCGCCGGGGAAACACCGGACATCCGATATTTGTTTCGAAAAAAATGATCGAGTCCACCGTTAAAAATTACATCTCACGATATCGCATCGGCGGGCGGCGAGCATCGATGTTAAACAATCTGCCATTATCGATCGCGCTTCTGCTCGATAACGATTGAATATTAATGCGAACTTTCCGTATCTAGCTTAGGGAATGACTTCGGAAGGGGGGGGGGGTGACTGTTACGCTTGTGCAATTAAATGCTACCGCGGACGGAACAGTTGCAGCATTTTTCTCTCGATGAATTTTTCGGAATGCAGGAAAATCTCTTTTTTCTCATTTTATTCTTCTTTGTCTTATTTTTTCCGTTTTTCTTACATTATTTTATCTTATTATATTTTTACTGCATTTTCTTTGTATTATATTTATATTTTTGGAAAAAATATTCCCAAAACAGATAAAATAAGCGTGTTTTGAAACTCTCCGGAAAAAAAAATATTTTTTTGTTGCTGCGACAGTACGCAGCGAGAATTTCAATCGATATCTTAATCATTCGCACCGTAAAGCCGTTCGTGTAAGCTTCTTAAGGATTTGGTTGCTTTGCGGTGTATTAACGAAAGTACAAAAAGGGCCATACGCGAAAATTTAGAAGG